CACCTCAGCCTCCCAAAGGCGCGGGATCAGAGGCTGAGCCACCGAGCCCAGCTAGAATTTGTATTTCTAACAAGTTCTTGGGTTATGGTGATGCTGCTGGTCTGGAGACCCCACTTTGAGAACCACTGATCCAAACTAAAATATGTTCTATAATAAAGGTAAATACAGATTGGATTGCTTAGAGCACAGAGAAAGGAGAGATTACATCTGCCTGGGAGAATTCTGGAACAGCCTTGAAGGATGGATATAATTTTTTTTTTCTAGACAAGGAAGTACAGTGGCACAATCCTGCCTCACTGCAGCCTCAAAGATGGATAGAATTTGAGTAGGACTTTGTTTGGCTACTTGGAGAGGAAGAAAAAGACACCAGATGCTGGGCTCGGTGGCTCAGCCTGAATCCCACGCCTTTGGGAGGCTGAGGTGAGTGGATTGCCTGAGCCCGTGGGTTTAAGACCCACCTGGGCAACTTGGCGAGACCTCATCTCTACAATAACTCAAAAAATGAGCCGGGCATGGTAGCGCGTGCCTGTAGTTCCAGCTACTTGGAAGGCTGAGGTGGAAGGATCGCTGGAGCCCAGGAGGTCGAGGCTGCGGTGGCCGGAAGCATGCCACTGCATTCCAGTCTGGGCGACAGAGTGAGACTCCAACTCAAAAAAAAAAAAAAAAAAAAATTCAAGGAGGGACTGCAGGAGAGGAAGCACTGAGGCCAGATCAATTAGGGAGAAAGTGGAGAAGGACAGAAAAGCAGTAAGTGTCAAAGACATAAGACAAAATCCACAGGGTTTAGTTAGTAATTTGATTTGAAGGATGTGAGAAAAGAATCCGAGGTGATTACAAGCTTTCAGGGCTTGCTTCCTATTTTCCAAGAGAAACAGCAAAAGAAGCAGAAGCAGATAAGGAGACTGGGAGAAGGCCATGGAGGTGGAAGTGGACAGAGCAGTGTGGTGGAATAGGAAGAGCGCTGTGCTGGGGCAGGGTGTCGCCAACTCTGTGACTGCTGCTTTAGAACCTCCTCTCACTTTTTTGTTAAAGAAAGAATTTATTGAGAAAACAGAAAAGCTCCTACAGTGGGAGGGGACCCACTTTTTTTATTTTATTTTTTTGGTTGGAGTCTCACTCTGTTGCCCAGACTGGAGTGCAGTGGCTGCTAAA